GTAAGAGAGAGAGAGAGAGAGAGAGAGAGAGAGGGTTTAATGAGGTTGGCAGTAACCAGCTAGTGAACTGCCGACGCAGTGTACTACTTTCTTTTCTAATGTTTCTTGTGCATAGCACTGTAGAAACCCCAACAATAAAGAGGGACAAAAATACTCCCCCTCTCTTTCTCTCTGTGTTTATTCTTATTTTTTCTCTCCTTTTTTTTCAAACTGTAGCTAGTTTCATCAAAAAATCACGAGAATTCTATGTTTCTCCCTCCTTTCGAGCTCACTAGTAGAGTAAAACCTGGGAATTTAAAAAATTAAAAAGCGTAAAAATAATATTAAATTATAAAACCAATATGCATTTGTTATATGTAATTTCGATGTTATTGATAATGTGAGCGTTTTTTGTCCTATATCTTATGTTTACATTTTTTATCCTTTTGTATTTTTTTATTAATAATTATCTTATGAGACTTTCTCACACCCATGTATATAGGGTCCAAGAGATCACCATTAAATTTAGCACAGATCTCTAAAAGATTATCAGATTGGTTTGGGATTTGATTTTTTTAGAGCTCTTACTATAAAATAACCATTTTTAAATCTCTGCTTTATATTTTTTTTCATTTCACTTGGTGTTATTTTTAGTTAGTTTGATCTTCACTCTTTTTTTTATGTTTAACCGTTGTTTTTATTTTTAATTTATGCGCATACACTACTATTGGGGTAATTCTAATGGAACTCATCCAATTTATCCAATCGACTAAGACTATTGTCCTTCAATTTAGAGCTTTATTCAAACTATTTGAGGTCATCTAATAACTCTTGGGTTGACATTTCTCTCTAGATTCATGCATTACTTCTCTCTCTCTAGTTATTGCTAAAAATTGTATTAATTACAATCTAAAAAATGTATTAATAATAAATAAATCAGATTATGATTATTAATAAATGAAATTAATAATCAGGTGGTCCTCCATAGCCTCTCAGCTCCCTGGACGCACCGATAACGAGATCAAAAACTTTTGGAACACTCACCTCAAGAAGCGCCTCTCCCTCTGTGGGCCCCTCCTTGAGTCGTCCACATCACCCGCCACGTCATCACCGCTAATGGGACCCATTCCTTCCATGACAACGTCCACCCGCCACATGGCCCAGTGGGAAAACGCCAGGTGTGATGCCGAGGCCCGCCTCTCCCTCCAAAACCAATACCAGAACCAGAACCAAAACAGCCTCTTCCAAAACCACCAGAGTCGAAAGGCGGTTTCTGACCACTTCCTCAAAATCTGGTATTCTGGCGTCGGGGAATCGTTCCGGCAATTTTCCGGCAAGTACGACGACCTCTCTCCGGCGACCTCATCCACGAAGAGGCCCCATGGGTCGGATTCCTGCGAATTCAATGTCCGAGTGTCAGATTCTGTGGAACTTAACGGCCAAGTCCCCGATTCCGGCGAAGTTGATGCTTCCCGTTTTGGTTCTGTCGAGATGAGTGGCGGGTGTTTGGACTCGAGCGAGGTGAAGGGCTTTCAAATGGATTCGGGTGAGATGAACGGTGCAGATTTGGACTCGACTGAGATCGACGGTGGTGGATTGGATTCGGGTGATTTTAAGGCAGAGGACTCGGCTAGCTCGAGCGAATTGGAAGTGACTGGTGCGTCATTTACGGCCTTGTTGGGGACCGAAATATTGCTGGATTTTTCCCAGGCCATGGCCGAGTCGCCAAACTTCGGTGGTTTTAACTCGCGGTCGAACCCTCAGATGTTGCCTTGGAACGATATAAAGTCCGAGTTTTGACTGTTTAGGGGTGATGTGCTGTAATTAAAATGACCTTGCTTTTATCATTATGCTTAAAAATACCCCTGACTTTTTAGAGCCATACGTTTGGTCCCAGTAGTGTCATTTTTGTTTTCTTTCTTTTTTTTGTTATCTTGTTTGCCAACACCCTTTGTTTTGAAATTCCCTAGCCTTTTTGGTTCCTCAAGGGTAACTTGGTATTTTATGTGGGTCTCTTCAGTGTTAGGGCTTATGTTAGAAGCAGGGGTCGTTTTGTTGAGTGATTAGGAAGTGTTTTTTATGGCCATGAAGGGGCATTTTGGTCACCTAGTTTTTGTCCTTTTGTCAAAAGTTTTTTGGGGTAGGATATTTGAATTTGTAGTGCTTATTATTACACATATAATGCATGTTTTACTTTTTTGGGTAATTTGTGGGATTTTTGGCTACTTTTTTGAGTAATTTGTGGGGTTTTTGGCTGGGTTTTATGTAAAGCCATGGAAGCAGGTAAAGGAAGGGGTTAAAGGTGAAGATAGATGGTAAATATTTTGATTTTGTTCGATATGGACATTATTTGTAACATAAGACATTTTGGCTTTTCTGTGATAATGGAAAGGAAAAGTTATGTATTTTGAGCTCCTTTGTGGCTGACAAGCTTTTGATAAGCACATTTTTTTTTTTTTTGTATGGGTAATTTAGTGGGGAAGAATGGCCTATACCTATTTTTTTAAATTGATTAGAAGTTAGTTTTTTTTATGGTGTTAGTGAGACGATGTAGTTGGGAATGGAAATTACAACGTGGTGGTGATTAGGATACAGGGGTGCTACCACGACCCCGTTTCGATGCATGAAGTTATTCTACAAGTGAACTAATATATGAGTTCGTTCATTAGAAGTGCTTCTTATGTTGAGTTGTTCCCTCTACAAATTAAAGGCTGGCAATGGGCCAGGCAGTCCGCATGGAAAAACTTATATGGTTGGACCGCTTCGGCTTGAGGACCTAGCTATACTTGGCTTGCCATGGACCTAGTCGAGGGCCTTGGACCTTGGACCAGGCTTGGGGCAGAGCGCCTTTGATCTGGTCTAGTAGAATTCAAGGTGACGAGAGAGTGTAGGGAGGGGAGCCAAAGTTGATTAGAAACGATATTAGCATGATTAGTGTAGCCTGCCCTTGCTTCCGAAGATTTACATGCTCTGCTGAAGTGTTTTATTTCAATTTTTTGGGAAATTCAGTGGAAAATATGGGCCCGTGTCTTTTTTTTCAATTAGTTTAAGAGTTTGTTTGTTTAAAATGTTAGTGGGGTGGTATTAGTAGGAATGAAAATTACAACAACGTAATAAGGGTGTCGGGGTGCTACCACCACGACCCCAGCCCCTTCCCAAGATTGAAGATTTACGTGCCGGTAGAAACATCATTTTTTTTTTTTTTCTTTAAATGTCTGACTCTTCATTGAAAAATAAAGAAACAATCGTGTACATGAGAAAAACATGCTGTATGGGACCGAGAGCGGCCAAATTTTTTGAAAACTCCATTACTCAAAATCTAACGTACAAAATTGTCTCGAAATCGATCTCCTTGGCAAGGACGTCAGAGGCAATCAGCCTCGCTGTTTGCCTCTCCATGTAAATGACTAAAAAGTCCCTCTCTTTAACCCACCGGGTCCTTAATTTCTAAAAAGGTCAAGCATATAACCGAGAGGGCTCTTAGAGCATCTCTGCACTCTCTAATGGCACTTTTTAAGAAGTATTTTTATGTGAAAAAACTTCATCATGTGATTAGGTCTGGGAGTTTTTTTTACACTAATTAAACTCAGTACATTTTTTTTAAGCATTCAATTGGTCTGAAAATTCTTTCATATGTAATAACATAAAATAATTTTTTCAAGCAAAAATATTTTTCATGCATACCAAACATGCCCTTAGTAAGTCCTCTTCTACTAAAATTTTCCTTGGGTGATAAAGTAGCAGCATGAGACCCTACAACAACGCCATAAGCCCAGAATAAAATTCAAAGCATCACGTTGTTGTGGATATAAGCATCACGTTCTGGTTATAAGCCCACGGTGGAATTCAAAGCATCGGGTTGTGGCATCCTGCCCACCATTTTGACTCCTTAGCCTTGCACCCATTCGCATAAAACTAATTGGGAAAAAGATTTTATACTCATATTGAAGTATACTATGCATTTATTACATTGGTTCAAACCCAATCCAGGAGCAGCTCTAGGACAAAAACTTTAGGATGTAGCTTTTTCAACAATAGACGAACCTCAATTAATTCTTTCTATATACTTGAATAAAATAATGTCTCAAGTTTGAATAAATACCATTTTGATTTTTGGAGGGTAACATCCAAGTGCAAAAAAAAAAAAAAAAAAAAATTTAATATAAAGTTGAGGCTCTAAACAATCAAGCTAAGGCTCACCTCTAAAATTCATTCGAAGTTATTTCGATGCCGAAAATTCTTGAGATCCCATCATCTCAACCTTGAGATACATAGATTTCACGAAAAAGAAAAAAAACTTCAAATTGTTGGACATAGTGCATCTTGTAAGTTTTTATTTAGACGGTCATTTTTCAAAATTTTCAACTGTTCAAAGATGTGTTTGATATGCACACTTTTTAAAACTTTAATTTATAATTAGAGAGTAAAATAAATTTTCAAACCATCAAAAAGACTTTTAGCAGTTAAACCACATCCTTCAATACTATTACAAGTAAGCCTTACTTTGATTGTTTAGGGCCTCAACTTTATACAAACCACACACTTTAAATAATAATCTAGTGATTATTAGGTGTTTCACAAATTTTCATATTGACAAGGAAACCTCCTAGGTGGGTATTTGACCGAGGGAGTAGATACACAGGTTGTTCCTGTGACCGCAAGCACGTAGTATAAATCTAAGAAATGACACGTTCACGTCCAGAAAAAGCGGTGCGTCATGCTCTCTCTTTCAACCCTTATAGTCCGTAAAGTGTTAGTGGTCCACAAACATTAAGTCTCCGTACACTCGCATGCCCCTCTCAGTAACTCTCTCTCTCCCCATTTTATGCCAAGCGATTATGTGCTCCCGCGGGAGTGTAACCCCAAACCCTTATAGTCCGTAAAGTGTTAGTGGTCCACAAACATTAAAGTCTCCGTACACTCGCATGCCCCTCTCAGTAACTCTCTCTCTCCCCATTTTATGCCAAGCGATTATGTGCTCCCGCGGGAGTGTAACCCCAAACCCTTATAGTCCGTAAAGTGTTAGTGGTCCACAAACATTAAGCCTCCGTACACTCGCATGCCCCTCTCAGTAACTCTCTCTCCCCATTTTATGCCAAGCGATTATGTGCTCCCGCGGGAGTGTAACCCCAAACCTCCCCACTTATTCACAGGAAATAAAGAGAAAAAAGTATATATACAAACCTTATTTGGCGTAAAATCTTCGTAGCCTAAATTTTGGGATGCGCCCTTGAATAACCTTAAATATAAATAGAAAAGGTCCCTTTCCATTTTTATGCTCCTAAACATATGATTAATGAGACTATCTAATAATTTAAATATTTTCAAACTCAATACCCAAAACTAATTTTCTCATGATATTCATCCATTGGTTTTAGAGGAAATTTCCCATATATCCTATGTAATTACATAATCACTAATATCCCCTCAACTATTGCGCATGTATCCCATTTCTTGTTACATTCTTTTTATTCCTATTTTACCCACACTTATGATGTTGAAAATCTAAGTCACCAAATTATGACTTTGAATTTCTGATGTCTAAAATTACAAGGTTACCGTATGACTTCAAATTTCCAATATCTATATTCACAAGATCACGACATTGGATTATCTAAATAGGAATAAAAAACCATAAAATAAATGTATATAATTTTTAAAAACTAAGAGGAATTACAGTAAGACAATTATTTGTATAAGGTCACAACCCTAAAATGTAAAATTAAAGTGCACCCAAAAAATTCATGGAATAAGGCTATTTAAATGTTTGAAACTCTCTAATTGATCATCTCGACATCGAGATATCAAAAATATGTGGAAAAAAAAAAAGAAGAGAAAGATTTTTTGTCCTAAAAACAGTACATTTTGCAACACATTATCTAGATCTTCTATTTTCAAGATTCTTACATGTTTATAGATCTACTTGATTTGAACCTTTTTTAGAATTTAAAATTTTATGATTAAAGATGAAAATGAATTACCAAGACATCGTAAAAAAAATTTAACACAAAATTATTTGTTATAACAAAATATAGAAGTGTACATTACTTTGATCGTTTAAGATTGCAACCTTATACAAACCAGACCCAAATAGGTATTATGGGAATTATACAAGGATATAAGGATAATTTTATCTTAGGTGTGAAGTGAGTTCCAAAATTTCGTCTCCAAATCCACTGTTTCCCTGATGAGACAATTTCATAGTATAATCCCGAAGGATGACGATATCTTTCAAGTAGATCTCCACGCCATGCTGAGCGACGTGTTTCTGTCACTCACGCCGTCACATCCCCATCAAAATTGCGTCAAATTCATAAATTTCCTTTGGCAACATTGAAACGTCGATTGCACGTCGACATGACGGCCTCTCCCCTTAGGGGACAAAAGTGGACAATAATACCCTTTGTCAACATATGCGTCGTCAGAGCATGTGAATAATTAACAAAAAAACAAATTGCTAAAAAAAAACCTTAAAAAATATATTTTTTTGGCGACTCTATCGCTACCCAGAACGTTTTTCATTTATTTTTTTCAAAAATTATCTTTTATAATTATTATTTTTTATTAGAAAAATATATATTTCTTCATATGACAAATCATTTCCGGGTCTCAATAATGAAAACCTCGAACCGCTTTTGTATAACGGTAGACTCCAAACCGCATTTGTACAACGGCAAACTTTTTAGTCTGATGCACTTCAAAAAGCCGAACTACCCCTCTAAAATGCAGAATTGCAGCTTCAAAATATCATACCCTAACTTCAAAATGCCAGACCGTCCATTTCAGCAAAAAAAATAATCGTAAGACCGCCACCATAACTTGTTAAAAATATCAGACTGGTCACTCTAACGAAAATAATTTGTTATATGAGATAAAGGTATTTTCGTCCAAAATAAATAAACTCTTTGCGTAGGAGTATTAGTTAAAAAACACCATTTTTTTTTTTTTGCTAAAAAAAAGAGTTTCGGCAGAGTGTAAAATAGGTGGGTTTTAGCAATTTTTCCAATAATTAACACCATAGCAGACCTTTTAAATTTCGCTAACGTTTCGTTTTCGGAATCGCCAAAGGCTTCCGTGTTTCGGGAAAGTTTCGTTAGGATGATTGCTGCATGCCAACATCATATACGTCATTCACATGCACGCACATGTAGATCGCATCATTTAGAGTGAACATGCACATGCATGATCATCCGCATTAAATGCAACAATGTAAGGTTCGATCAATTGAAAGCGGATTTCAGCGTTCAAGTAAAATTTTCTGGCGGATTTTCTACTTTGTTTCATATAGTATTTTCCATGTTCTTATTTTGAGATTGTATATTAGGAGACCATTTACACCTGCTTATAACAAAGTAATGTAAGGTATGACAATTCCATTTTCCATCGGGATAATTTCTTTTGAACT